ATGGAAATTTTTAGAGAAGTAGGCCCGCACAATGGTAAAATTAGCCCAGGAACATTTTTCACTTAATGGGCGGCCGCCTAAATTTTTGATCGTCGCCGTTGGCCAATCAAAATCGAGGATTAACCGCGCATATGACCTGCACTATGTTTGTAATTAGGCTTTAGATAACCTCTATATTGATTTAAAGTGTTTTACGTGTTATATTTTAAATTAAATGGCCGCAACGACTGAGAAATCCGTAATCTCTTTAAGCGAACAATTTCGTACAGGACAGGAGCTATATAGTAAAATAGAGAATACAAATCTTGCATCATCTGATCAAAAATTTCAGGTTAGAATTTCTCTTCTTTTACTTGGTGCTTAGAAGTTTTTTTTTCTAACTTGAATTTCTTTAGGAAGATGTAAGCAATGCAATCGCATGTTTTTCTGCTTGTGCAAAATTAGTTGATGAATTGGACCTTTTCAGCTCAAACGAAACGGTGGATGATATCAACTCTACAGATCTAAAGTAAGGATTTATGAACATTTGTTCAATTCCTTCCTTGCTCTAAAATCTTCTCGCATTACTAGATTCATTCTAGTTTATGCATATCTTGGAGATTTGACGACAAAACTTATCGGTGTAAATAGATTAGAAATATTAAACAATGCCAAGGTTAAGTAAAAAACGCGTTTTTTTATACGGTCAAACCTCTCTACAATCAGGGATCCTAGACTTTTTTTTTTTTTTTTAGCAAAAAAAGATGTTTAGGCCATGCAACAAATAAAATTGGTTCTCGTTATCCCACCGGGTAACCTTTTTTATATTTAGCATGTATAAAAATTTTTTTTTAAATTAAAAAATTTAAATATACCTGGCCGGCAGGGTTTTATTTTCCTGCCCGTGTAACGAGAAACAGCTAATTTACGTTGTATGAATTTATTGATTATGCTTGTATAGAGGTTTAGATTATGCGCTTATAGGGACTGTACATATTTCATTATATATAATTCTTTTGCACGCATTAACTCTTTGGTATCATATTCTTTTATGAAGTGGTATTTCGATCAATTTTTGCGAAACGTTGAATTGTATGAAATACTCAGTGAAGAGGTGACGTAGCACATTGTTATTCCGTTAATGTACTTTTTACCTATATCTATCGCCGATCAGCCCAGAATAATAATCGCTAATCAACTAAATCGGTATTTCATACATATAAATAGGATAAGAAATTTGTCGAAGAACATTCAAATGGAATTGTCAAGGATTTAGCAAAAAAGCGTGAAGAAAAAATTGAGCGCTACAAAAGAGAAAAAGAGACCAAAGCAAAACTAGAGGTAATATATTATTTACTATTGTTATTTTTTTGAAAAAACAAACTTGTTTGTTTACCTCGTGTTTTTAAACAGATGTTGCAACAACAGCTAATCTCGACTAAAGATGATGACAAGGAAGATATTAACCGCGAATATATTTTAACCCTTATCAATCACTTTATTCAAAAATCCATTGAACAATTGTTGTTGATTAAACAAGAAATTGATTTGTTGAATCAAATGCGCCTGATGGAGTCAGGACAAGGTTCTTCCGTAGAGATGAAAGATGATACTAGGATAGAAACTGTCCAAAGAAATCACAATGGGCCATTGTTATCGCGGGATGGACGTGTATGTATGCATATATAGCACTTTCATCTTTGAGGCTTTTGCCTTGAAATCAAGCTTTGGTCATAGGATTTATATATCACGTAAGATTGTTTCAAGGCAAAAACCCATTTCATTGAAATTTGAAGGTTTTATATAATTTGAAATTTTAGCCACTTCGTCCATTCGTTATTACAAACCAACGTGAAGCAATAAAAGAACAAGTGTTTCGTCCAAGTTGGCGACTTCCCACAATGACAATTGACGAATATCTTCAACAAGAGGCCCAACGAGGCAACATCATTCAAGGAGGAGGAGAAAAGTATGTTAATGCACAATGGATTTTAATAGTTTATAGCTTACTTAGGTTTATACTAACTTAGAAACATGTCTAACACAGAATCATGCATATATTAATTTAGGTCAAAGTCAAAGGTTGAAGTTGATGATGATGATGAAAAAGCCATTGATGAAGAAACTTATAAAGCCCGTGAATGGGATGAATTTAAGGATTCAAATCCGCGCGGTTGGGGTGAGTTTTATTGAATCAAATGGGGTCTTTGCCTTGAAAATGACCTTACGGTACATGATACCGTAAGGTCATTTTCAAGGCAAAGACCCCAAA